GCACGGCTGCGTGTCAGACGGGTTGAGGAGCGCGCCGCGAGAAAACAACAGGTTGCATGCACCACCGCCGTGTCCCCGCCGTCGTCGTACGCCGCGAGATATGGCGGACGACGTGTATCGACGAGAGCGAGCGCGCGCGTTGCGGACAGGTCCGGAGGACAGACGCGACGGCACGAACCGCGAACCGCGGCGACGGTGACGATGACGAGACCCGGACGAGAGACGGCGCGCGAAGAAAAAGCGAGGCAAATTACGGGATGACGTGCGCGACGCGACGCGATATGATCGCCGACGAGTGCGATGCAGCGGCGCCGTGCGGTGCACGCGCTCCGTTTCGCTCCTTCACCCCACCCCCTTCTAGCTTTTCTTCTTACTCCGAAGCCGCGTCCTTCTCACTCTCTCTCTCTCTCTCTCTCATGCACTCCGTCGACCCCGACCCGCCGCGTGCGAGACGCGATATGTGACAGTCACACTCGCGCGATTCCTCGTCGATTACCGCGACGTAGATAACCAAATTCGGACTGTACTCACGATATACTGTACCCGCGAGGATGCCCGTCGAGATACACGTTGACGGTATACCGCCGGCACGCCCGGGGACGCGGAGGGGAAGATCTACTATCGTAACAACGCGACGTGAAAACCGGAGCCGAACAGATACCACGCGCTGACCGCTTTTCGGCTGCGCCGCGCCGGCCACGAAGTGCACCGTCGCGCCCGACGCGCGCCACTTTCGCGCAGCGTGCCGCCATCTTGCGACGCTGCCGCGCGTTCTCACGTCTCCAAATCCAAAGCAGAGTTGTACCGCATATTTCAAGATTACGGCCGGTATTCACGTAATAATTAAGTTCTTATTTTAAGACCGTCTTGAGTAATATATTAAAATACTAATACAGCTCTGTGGTATTCATAGACTGTTCTTATTTTAAACCATAATTACCGTTTTAAAGTAATATTTTACGATATGGATCTTGTGATTGATTTATATTAAGTATAAAAACGAATTATGAATAACGGCCTACGTATATTTTTACTATACGTAAAAATTTAAAAAGATTTATGTAAAGTTACATATTACAACAAATAATGTTGTTAACATTAAGTTCACACAAATATTTTTCATGTAAACAATACAAGCAATGTAAAATATAGAAATTATTATAGAAATTGGATAGCACAATATACAGAAAGAAGTAATTAAGTTTTGTGATTATTAATATATCTGCAGAACTTAGTATTGCTAAATAAAAATATATTCTTAAGCGAGATTGAAACTTAATTAGAGCTACTCTAGTACAACAATAAAGAATATATTCGATGATTCCATATAATTGTTTTTCATATGATCACATAGATGACGCGATATAAAACATAGTTTAAGTAGTTTTACGTAATATACACATATAGATATAGATTATTATATTTTAAGCAAATGCACATCTCTGATCTAAAAATTTAATATTATTTATTCCTGCACTAGACTGCACTGTGGAATTTTCTCTCTTGTTTTCACCAAACTCACATACCTATTTTACTTTATAAAGTAAAGTATACCTATAGAAAATTAGAAAATAAACCATGTGTTCTATTTCTGCACCAAACTGCATTAGAATTTTCTTTCTTATACTTTCGCTAAATATAAAACATAGTACATCTATTCCTTATTAATAAATATTTGAATTTAATATTTTTTTTTTAAATTATTTATTAAAATTATTTTTTTAAATTATTTATTTTGAATATTAAAAGCACTGAACAACAGTGTTTTTAATACACAAATTAAACAATTATAATCATTATCTTCCAGTATTAAATTTCTGTAAGAAATGCGCGACGCAGCGAAATTAAAATATGATGAAAATCGGACGGAGATGGATTGCAAATCGGTTTTACTATCGTCTCGTTACACGGTTCTCTTTTTTTTATTTACGCGAGTTTGCTTGCAGAAATTCACTTTATCCGCAGCCGATGAACTCTTACGCATTATAAAAATTTTTATTTAATTAAATTAATAAATAATAAATAAAACATTGTTTATATTTTTTGCATTAAGATTTCAGCGAGATACTATCAAAGATCAACATTTCTGAAGCTTAATTCTTAATTAAGTATAGGCTTAAAGATAATTAAAGTATTGATTGGTTGTTGATAAGATTGCAATAATGAACTCTTGCAGTCTTATAAATATATACGAAATTTTACATATGTATTAATTGGGATAATCATATATAATATCATTTGATAAATTAATACAAGAAGCAAATAGAAAACTACAGCGAAGATTATACTTTAAAAAATAGCATTATCAAATATGAATATGAAGAAATAATAATTTTAGATATAGAAATACAAAAATTTTTTATACTACTCGTTAAAAATATAAGTTTGCTAATAGTAATTTGAAAACGTTATAAATAATATAACGATGAATTATAACGAAAAATACGCACCATCTGCTAACGCCATCTTGGAAAATATCGCGGGCAGGACAAAATTAGGATTTATAGTGAATCCAGTTGAACGAACTAGTGCACATTAATGCATATTAAAACCGTTGTACACTGATTTAATCTGTGTAAAAGTAAAATGCAAATATTTTGAATTATAAAATACAGATCTTATACTTAACAGCACAATAAGTGTTTAGGTTTTTCATTAATTTCAGTTTCTTGGATTAAAATCATCCTTAAGAAAGTACAGGAAAAAGTGGTATTATGGCACCCCATTTATATTTTATGATTCAATAACTTGGTTAATAACCAATAATAAATACTAGTTATGTATTGACATATTAGCGTCATAATGCCACCTTCTCCATCAATTATTTTCTTATCTTATTCAAAAGAAGTCTATAATTATGTTTCAACTAATTTAAAATTATTTTAATAAAATCCCCTCACACAGACTGATTTAAATGAAAAAAAAAATAACATCTGAAGTTGCATGCGTTTCGGAAAAAGCATGAAAAGTCATGTTAAAATATTTATATCCCTGTACGTACCTACATATAATACACAAGTGTTTTAACAGATTAGCTGTTATAATAACTTCATAATCATTTTTTACGACGGCAAATTGTTACCGAAAGACCTATCTTATTCATCCGATACAAGATCCTCACTCGAAATATTCGCGTCATCAATCGAACTCCCCTCGTCGCGTCGATGTCACTTTATTAGGGGTGTGCAGGTACTCGAAAATACGGGTCGGGTAGGGCGGATCCCGATTGTATTCACACATCCCTAAGTCCATAACACACACAAAAACGTAAGGCAGTATGACGTAAGCAGCAAGCGAATTGACCAATCACGGTAAAAAGTCTAGTGTGCCCGATGAAAACAAAAATTTGTAATTAAGCTTCAAATTGTATTTATTTAAAATTTTCACATAAAAAAAATGTAATCATATAAAATTTTAAATTTTCCAAAAATATTTATTCGCAAAAAAACTATGAATATTTAACGAGTATATTCAAACAAACAAAATATATTCATTCAAACAAAATAAACTGAAAAAGAAAGCTCCAATAAGCAATCGTTACCCCTTAACTATAACCGGCACTTTAATGACTTTAAGTTAAAAAAAATGAATTTTATTTATTTTTGTCATTGTAATATTCAGATTTTATGAAGGAATCTTAGAAATTAAAAAAAATATTTTAGAAAGCAATACATTCTTTAAAATGTCTTTGTTTAACCTTATATAAGTTAAACAAAGACGCTCATCCAGATCGCGGACTAAGCGCACGGTGTAATCGTTGTTTTAGATTTCTGTTTTCTCTTACAGGCTTGCAAACTATGTGCAGATAATACAGAATAAAAGAGAATACGAAACGAAAATATTCGTAATCACATTAAAAAAAATATTCATTTAAATGGAATGAAAAAATATTCATTCGTTTCTTGAGGAATAAAAAAGAAGTGTGTATTCAAATAAATATTTTCATTAATTTTTTATTTATTTATTCGAATATTATATGTATTCACCGGACACACTAGTAGAGATCAGTAACAAATCCAATGTTACGGTTTCCTTACTGTTCACGTCTTACGGTCTTACGTTTTTGTATGTGCTATAGGCTCTATATTTCGGTATCGATCATGAGATGGCGTTTTAGATACCAGGGTATCATATATAATCAAGGAGTAAGCTACAGAAAGTAGATAGAGACCTTAAGGCAATAACGTAAGTTATAGCAAATCAAAATATTAATTTGCCTATTGTTTATGTCTTACTGATATAAAATTATTTACAGTTTTTTAAATCTTTATAATAGTATAAAATTATTAATATTCTTCTAAGATGCTTATGAACATCAAAAGTTATTAAAATTGCTTATCAATTTAATGTGATATTATAATACTAGTATACTACTCTAGTTCTGTTCATGAGTGCGTTTTAAGATTGAAAAAGGTTTAGGCGCGGGTTTGCAGAATTGAATATGTATATAAATTCATATTAAAATATTTAAAGTACTAAGCCTTAACTCTGCTTTACGATCAAAAAAATAGGAATTATTTTCTCTTAATTGATTTATGTCTTACTGTTTAAATTTTTTGTGTGTTTTTTGTGTGCTGTTTAAAGTACAGTGAAAAAATATTTCACTTGTTCTTAAAAGATATCGTGTTTGAATTCTTCGTTAATTTTAGTTTCTTGTACTGAAATCGGCCTTGAAAAAGTAATTATATTTTCTAATTCTCATCTTATTCAAAAGAAGTCCATACTTATATTTACTAATTTAAAATTATTTTAGTGCAATCGAGATCTCTTTGGATTGATTTAAAAGAAAAGAAAAAAAGTAAGACTTGTATTTATACGTACATTTGTCATATAAAAAAATTTTTAAATGCGTAAATAGTTATAAAGAAACCCAAGAACTTCTTTATCCTACAACCAATTAACATATGCTTAAAAATATTTCGTAAGACAAACGTAATATTAAGCTAAAAGAAGTAATAAATCAAATCTATTAGACAGAATTGATTGATCAAATTTAATGTTTAAGATTCATCGCATAAGGTCAACCGATCACGATCTTTCAAGTCGATCAACACTTTCCCACTCGGCACCGCTGCGTAATAATTGAACGCATCATTGATGTGATTCAGACCGAAGATCGCCGAGATCCGAGGACGAATTGCGCACTCCGACTTATAGTCCAACACATGCTGCATAGTCTCTCTACAAGAGAAGGAAACGTCATATTCTGCTCAATCAATTATATTGGTTTGAAACAAAAGTACGTAGCACTTCAAAATCCAAGCAATTATAACTTTATTAAAAATGAACGAAATTTAAATTTAAAAAAAGATGTTATAAAGCTTAAAATCTCGATTTTTGAAAGGTAACTATTTGTTCGAATTTCTGTCAATTTGATCATTTTTACACATAGAACACTACGAGTTAGATAAAAAAAATGGGAAATTTTCTTCTCACTTTGTTGACACATACTCAAAAAACTTACAAAGTTTTCACCTTTCGATAGTGAAAACTTACAATTTTCCTTTCAAAATCATTTCTTTTAATTTTCCTAAGATTTTTTTATTACTGAGCTATCACGGGTTGAATGAAAGGAGCATTTTGACTTTGATTGCTCATTATAACATTAAAAATTACACACGTATACCGTAATTTAAAAAATATCTTTTCTTAAACTTTGCTTTATTGAATGGCATAATTGTCAAATATTTTTTAAAACATGTACATAGTTATGATACAAATAAAGTACCGCTACGAATTTTTATTTCAGTCCAATACAAGTGACCACTTTCCTGGTAAATAAAATTTCCATCATATTTTTAAGAATTTAATATTTTAAATTTAGAAAATTTCTGAAAAAATATTATAAACTTTTTCAAATTTTATAAGTTCCTTTTTTCTTCAGAATCTTATAAATTTTATATTTCAAAATTCACATAAATGCAGAATTTTAAAAAAATATAGACCTTTTCTCGGTACTTCGGAAAAATGTTTTAATTCGTATAAAAAAATTTTTAATGTTTTAAAAAGTTATAAATTTATATAAAAGCGAAAGTTGCTTATATCAAAATACAAGTGGAAAGTTAAAAAGACTGAAGTAAATGAGCAAAAACTCATATCAAATTAATAAAACGTATATGTATATTTAATAAAGCTGTAAGTACTTCAATTGTATTTGTTTAAATTTTTGTAGGAGAGCTTCGTTGAGCCGAAACATATTCGTTTAACTTTATTAAATTGTCGAAAATTGTAGAATTGGATATGTATATAAATTTACTCTGAAATACTTAATTTAGCATTAAGATCCGCTTTGTGTGATCAAAAATAGATTTATTTCTTTTAATTGATTTATTAAGTTGTGTACATATATTTTAATTAATTTTACATCTGTTTTTGCTTGTGTACTTTGACTTTTTTAATCTTATACTTGTATAAAATTATAGATACACAAATTTTGAAAAACTAAAATTTATATAATTCTAAAAAATTATACAAAAAATTTGAAGAAAAATTATCGTTAGAATTAGCTCTTAAAAAACAATATTGACCTGTATATCAATGTGTCGGCAATTTTGTAATGCTCCGCAGCGACTGCAAACATCATGCAGTTGATTGGCACAAAGGAAAAGTCGAGAGATCGTTTATTTCGCGCACTACCGAGGACAGCAATCAGACCATCGTGTTCTAAGCTGAAAAAAAGATACACGAAGATGCGCGATTTTTTTTACAAATCTTAACGTCTGGTGGTCTACTTTCCACGTCTCTAACTTCCGTTTCACAATCGCGACTTTTGCCACCTCTGACTACCAATAAAAGAAACTTTGTAATCTAGTTTCATAACGCGACACGTGTGATTTCACCATTTGACAACGTTCTGAAAGCATGGCCCGCCTTCGGTCTCGATCATCACGCGCACTTCTTCCTTTCCGCCGATTTTCTTCAACTTGTACGGTAGGCAACGTTTATTTCTGCATATTACTGTCGCGCCGAGATCCGCGCATAACTGGGCTCGTCTTGCATCGTCACATATAGCTATCGGCTATAAAAAATAAAAAATGCAAAATTCTGACTGCTTTGTATAATTATCTGCAAAGTAGATACAGAAGTAATTAATACGTATATGACAAAAACATGTCGAGATTCAAAAAGATAAATGAAAAAGTAATTAAAATAAACGTATCGAGATCTTTAGAGACACAGAAAAAACGATTTTACTGAAATATCTAAAAATTTAGCTAGATACAGATAATAATTTTATTAGACTTTATTAAAATAATTACGTATAGGAAACTCAAACATATTGCATAAAACTTGTTACAACGTTCGAAATATGTTACTGTAATATTGTTGGAACATCATAATGTTGTTGGAATAATTTGTGCTTTATACACTGGCTGTGAAAAAATTTTCTAATTGAAAACAGATGAATCAGAAGAAAGATGGACGAAGATTTTGATCACATCAATCAAAATTTTGGTTATCTCAATTATCATTATAATAGATTCAACCAGAAAATTTTGATTTGTCTATTTTCTACCAGAATTCCAATTAATGCAACCAAAGTTTTCCAATATAGTTAATGCTGCAAAAAATATTGATGTTCTAGCAACCAGCTTGAGCGTCCTATATAATTATTTTGATAATCCAATACTGAAAAAAAATACTGATTGAAAATGAGCGAACCAGTAGATTCTGATCATATCAGTCCGAATTCTGATCATTATGATTGAACATCTGATTAGTTCGACTAGAATTAAAATAAATTTAACTATAAAATTCTGATTGGCTATTTTTTTCTACTAGAATTAATGCAATTAGACTCTTTTTCTAGTGAGCAAAATTACTTTCTGATCTATCGTATTTAGCTACATTTTTAAGTGATTCAATAAAATCTCCGTGTATATACGTAGGAGTTTGATTTCACTTTATTGCGTTAATAAAAAACAGATATATTTCCAAAAAGAAATACAGTGCAGTTTTCATTTTTTCTTCTTCATTATTTACTTATCATAATAAAGATAATGAGATTAAGACGAATACCTTCGCTCCGAAGACTCGTGTGGCGAGATCGATGACAGCGAGAGCAGAACGCGAGTGTTTCGCGTTAACGAGGAGACACTCGTTTCTTTGGAGACGTGCTCGACGGCCAATCGCCAATAACGCCGAGAAATAATCGTCCGTGACGGCTGCCGCGTTTTTCAGAGACACCCGTCTCATTAATCTAAACACGTCCTAACGTTTATCCAGCTCAATTATTCTCTCAGCGGGACCGAGTCCGACGGAATGCGGCGCGCACGAAGAAAGTTGGCGTGCGCAAACCGACGGCGTTGGTATTTACAAATTACGATCTCGCAGCGTATCCGCGAGCGGATCTGAAGCATACAAATTAAAACGCCTCTCCTCTTCACGGTAAAACGTACCTACTCTGTAATGAGCCAGACAGCTCTCGGCCAGGCCGCCGCAGACGGGATAATTGTGCACGACGACTTCCTCGCCCATCTGATAACCTGTTTGCTCGTGTGCTAATCTGCCCATTTCCAGGATCGTGCCCGACACCTCAAAACCGAGGATCATCGTCGTTTTCGGAGTACTGCGATGTTCGCCGCGCCAAAGGAGTACGTCGCTTCCGGTGAGTCCGCAGAAATGTACGTCCACGCGAACCTTTCAACGAATCTCTCGCAAATTTCGCGCAGAAGGAACAGACGGCGACGAGGCCGATCAATGAACGAGCGAGCGAGCGGAGAAAGTGTCTATCGCTCGCTGAATTTCAGCCCGGCGACTTTTAACCTTCGTGCTCGGATCGCGAATCGATCCTTAAGTGAAAGCGAGATTTTCACAAGGCGAAGATACAAGCCACGACGCCTTATGAAATTCCTTGATCAAACCGCGATGGCATGATATTACAACGCGGTATTAAAGTTCACCAAGAGACCGTTTACTTCGCCAGTATGACTTAATAGGTGCGTGGTAGAAATTACTATGTGGAAAACAGGAAGTAGCGATTAATTCGTGACGAGATAGGGAAAAAGCCGCTGAATCCGAGTTAAGGCTGAGACTCGTACATAAATATTTATAATAATACAGACGTAAGAATAGAATTATCTATAAAATTTTTATGTTTTCTATAACATTTTGAGATAATACTTTGATTTATGATTCATATATCCTTAATCAATAAATGACCATATATCTGGAAATCAATTATGCATAACCATGATATAAAGATGTCTTTATATCATATGCATAACCAAAAACAAAATAAGCTATGTTCACAGCTATGACAAACTGTCAAATTAATAACATATGCCATATAATGAAAATAAATATAAATTAATTTCTTCTTGAAATAAAAAGATAGTTTTTGATATATTTTATAAGTTCATGTTATATCGATTGCAAATGTTGTTTTATTTAAAAAATTTTTATATTATATATATAATTTGCAAGAATTTTATTGTATATGTTTTCTCACTTTTGACACAATCTGGGATAAAAATGGTAAATGAATGTGATCCTTAAGGTTAATTCTACAAGGTCCTTAAGGCTGTTTGTCTCTTGCCTTCTTGATCAAAAAGGCAAGAGACAAACAGAAGCAAACAGCAAGAAACAGGAAACAAAGAGCACATTGTAGAATTAGGCTAAATCATTTGAAACAGAGAGAGAGGAAACATTGAGTTTCTTTGAAAAATTACTTTATAATGCAGTTAAGATAGTTAATTAACAAACTACGTGAAAGAAGAGTGTTTTTTTTTTTTATAAAAACCTGTGTTTGCTGAATCTCCTTTTCAGGAATGTCGTCTAATTTCAAATTACATGGTCCATGCAGTACTGCAGCTCGTAGTTTTCTACCGGTTTGCGTGCTTCTCGTTGGCTCGATTATCTTCCGAATTCTCTCCAAACCTGTAGCCAATCTATCAAGCTTATTATAGCATTTAAATATCTTTGAACTTTTTTCGATAACAGCTCGCGAATCAGCAAATAACTTCATAATTTATAACCTCTCAAACCGCATCTAAACAGTTTCCTACAAATTCCTCCTTTCGAGTTGCTCGAAAAAAGACGATCGTACAGCCAATCGATCATGTTTATGTTTTCTCTCAATGCGTGATTATTTACTTCGTAAAAATTACGAGATTTCTAATCGAACGATCACTGTGCTAATAATATCACAAAATATTAATTGCTACATAACATAAATTTAAAGTGTTCTTGGAACAAAGGCTAATTTATAGCAAATGCTATAAATCAATTTCTTAATTAAAATGTTAAATAATGGTTAATAAGGTGTCTAATAGTTTTGACTGTATGACAATATGTGAAAGTTTGTTATATCGTCTATTTTGTTAAGAAATTCAGTCTTATAAAATCTAGTTTTAAAACTTTGTGTTCAACTGATAGCACAGAGCCTTCTGTTTTTAACTGTTTGAGAGAATAAAAGTAAATGCAAAAGTTAAGTTACTTATTGTATTTATTGATAAGAAAAATGTTACGTTAAAGAAAAACCTTACACTAAAAATACAATAACCTGTATTCAGAATGTGCTTATGTTAGCGTACATTTATTAATAAAATATTAATAAAAAGCGCATTCTGAATACAAGCTTTTAACTTTAAGGGGTTATACCTTGGAGGCATGAAAATCATACATAATTTATGAATTTTTTTAAGCAAAATTACAAAAGAAATAAGTAATTAGTTTTAATTGTAGCCTTTAATTGTACATATCTTAAACTTAAATAAAAAATTTTTATTATATATATTATAATTTCGTATTAAAACTAATTGCATCTTATTTTTAAGACTATAAAGTTAAGATAATATATAAAAATCATTTAAGACAAAAAATTTTTTCAATTTTTTTAAGCCTCCAAAGTGATCTAACCCCTTAAGGCTTACATATTTATAAGTGCTTTTTATATCAATATTTATAATAAAAAATGTGTCGTTTATATCATAATTTATTTCAGTGAAATGGTCCTATAATCTAATACAGACTGTAGACCGTAAAGTGTATTAAAAATATGCCAGAGGTAAATGCCAATCTTCAGTTTTTCTAAAACTTGCGATCTCCTTGGATGTTGTTCCCAATTCGCAGTGCTCGAACACTCAATTTTTCTCATACAAAAACCATCTAGTTTACCTATCATCTTCGGCTTCTTGTACCCTTCAAGGTAAGCGACTCTCACAAGAGGTAGGCGAGCCCTCGTCTCTCGGCCTCACTATAGGGCTGACTCTAGCACGCGTTCGACCTTCTGCCCGCTTCTAAGATCCCCATAAGGTTGTTTATCTATTCGCTGCTTTTGGCATTTACCTCTCGCGTTTCTCCCAAGCTAGATCTACTCATGGGACACGCACAGCTTAATGACCTCGGTCGCTAAGTTATACGACGTCGTCATAACTCACGCCTACTCGTTTCCTGTTCTCTGTGTCGCGGCACCGTTTATCGTCCATCTTACCCTCGCCGAGATGTTCTCCTGTTCATGTGAGAGCTAGACTGGTCGAATAAATCGAAGATGAAGTGGTTAACTATTTATTGACCCACTCGCTATCCTTCCGTCGTATCTGTCTTATATACCCCTAATCGCCAGTCGAGTTGATTCGCACCGCTTGCAAAAACTCACATAACGGTATCCGCGCCTGCAACTGCGGTGAAATTATGCTCCTAATCGGTACCGTGCATGCGAGAAGAATCATCTTGCGGAATGGTGAGAGCATATTGTTAAGCTGAAAAAAGAGATGAAATCTCAAGATATCTCTCTCTTTCTTTCTCTCCCCCTCCCCCCCCCTCACTCTCTCTCTTTCTATCTCTCAAGACAGGACGCTGCTGTGCTTTTTATAATATCCTTGGAAGCCAGGACAAAATTTGTACGAACCTGCTCAAGCGTAACTGATTCGGCACCGGACTTGACGCGGACGAGTTTATTGTCCGCGACTGAAATGATACGCGGACGTTGTTATGATACCCTGATAGGGTGCAGTCTGAGTTTGGTATCAAATGGCCGCCAACGAGTCACGCAGCAAAACGAGAATCGTCATCTTGCGCCGCAACAGTGAGAACAGCGATAGCACCGCTGCACCGTAGGCATTTATTGGCAGAAATGGGCGGACTCATCCATTCGAATGTAGCACGTTGCCATCGCGATTTCAATGCCGATATATTTATCATACAGATCGTCATGAAATCTTTAGATGAATTTTCTACGAATCCTATTGCTAATTTAAGTTTTGTTTTTAAATCTTGCATTTTATCATGTAACATTATATATATCTCCAAAAAATCAAGTCTCGAATTAAAATTCTTGAAGCAAAGGTTCGTTGAGATTATTTAATAGATCTATTCTTCGAGAAGCTAATTAATTGAAAGTAAAAAAAGTTCTATCATTCAAGTAAGCGTCTCCCTATCTTTCCAACATCTCTTAGTCCACTTGAAGAATCAGTCGCTATCTTCCTAGGTATGTCATAGCTAGGAGAACCCGTCTTCTGATTTAGCTGCCTCCATCTTCTCGTGCACTCCTGATCAGCCGGCAGTCCCACTTTCTTTCAAAGCCGCTGAAGCGGCAAATCTTTTTACCCTCCGGGGGATTAACAAAGGGCGGCCGATTAGGCACTCATGAGCGATCCTGAGGCCTGATGCGATCCCGATCTTTCTGGAACCGTCTTCAGGGACGAGTTCGCAACCCTTCGGGCGTACGCCGCCCACGCCGAGGAACGCACAGCGCACTGCGCAGGTCGATAATTGAATTAAGCTCGCGCTCGCGCGCGTACTTTATTCATTTGCGCGAAGCGCGTCGATTCAATGTACATTTGTATTTCAACGTGATCGGATCACGTTGTGCGGTAACTTGCTTGGGACATTATAGAGAAATAAATCAAACTACTGAATTTCGCTTGTAAAATGAAACTTTGAAGAGAAGAGGGAAAACGTTAGAAGAATCATTATAAGCAAGTCGGGAACTTCTCCAGGAAAGACAGAATTATAAAATTCTCAATAAGAAAAGAGAATCGCTGTATTCCTTCAAAGTAGATCTCGATTAATAATATCTTTGCGTGAATCTTACAATTTCCAGCTGAAAGATTATTCTTGTTATTCAAAGACTATTCAGCAGCAACATTATAAGTTCATAATTTCAAATTGTATAATAATTGAGTTACTTTTTATCGTTTCTAAAGGTCGCCATTGGTTTTACTTAATGTGTCGTTCAATTAAAACAATTAAAAGTTTGACTCAAGAAAATACATTTTTGACTCTTTAGTTTATTATTTACTAAGTGTGTTAATGTGTACGTTGTTTACTTTGAAACTAGCTACAGAAAGAATGAATTGATTTCATAGGTACATTTTGACACATATGGAAGTTAAAAATAACAAATTGTGTTATTAACTCAACTGATTGGATTATCATTGCTCCTTTGATGATATTTAGTAGTGACCCAGACGCTTTTTTTTCAAAGGTTGACATTTCTAAAATTTTCAAAGTTATCTAATTTACCTGACAGATTTGAATATATTAGAATATCCTTCTTCTTTGGCGTAAAGGATAATGTTAATTAGCGAATTAAATAATAACGACTGAAAGTTCATAATAGCTTATAATACCATACCTAAGTGTCTTATATTTTTGAAATGTTCAACTATGACATATTTTATTTTAATTCAAAATCTAACAATAAAGATCTGCTTTGGCTGAATATGGTCTTTTTCGCTTATTTGTGTTGTCATTATTCAATAGATTTTTGCTTACTCGTATTAATAAAATTCTGTTGTTGTGTGCTCTAAAATTAATAATAACTCACAGATAAAAATTGAAATTGTCAATGCCGATCGTTATGCCGCGAGGACCACCATGTCGCGCATTGTAAACGGAAATAAATTAATTTACATTTCTCGCAAATAACGCGGGGAAGCTTCGCTTGTATATAATGTTATCTTCGAGATACACGTCGCGCGTCTCGGAGGTGTGGCTCCTGAGGGATGAGTCCACTTTGCATAGCCCTATACTTCCCTGATCGCAGGTGTTTCGTATTACACGTGGCCGTAATCCCTGGAACACCCTGGACGACGTCGACGCGGACATTAACGGCCGGCGGCATCGGGCACGACCGAGACGGGACCCGTGGGAATCCTCGTTCATAATTGATGCTCGGACGTTCGATAAAATTAGCATATTATTAGCATATTAATAAGAAAGACGGCGACAGCGGCCAGGATAGTAGGATGAAACCGCAGGAGAATCCGTGCCGCCGTGGTTCCTGCGGCCGACGCCGACGGCCGAGGATCCTTCGAGCCTCCTCAGGCGCTCTGCATCCCTGATGGCCGAGTCTCCGCATTTAGAACTCAATGGAGCGAAACTAATTGCCGTCATTATGACACCATCGCGGATCCCGCTGGCAAGCACGAAGACTACGATGCATGGCGGATCCGCGCTTCGATTCACACGTAACACATGCACGTTTGCGCACACGACGCAATGCGCATAACGCCATAACTCCGTTATCTCTTGTCGAAACTCGCGTTTCCACTTTTCAATACGCGTTACTCGATTTATCTTTATTCAATCGTCCCTTTCCAAACTCATATTTTTTAATCTTTTACATACAATGTTTTCTTCATTTCTATTCAAAGGATACACTGTTAAATTCATAATGTCAAATTATATTTGATTTGAGTTGTTTTTAATCATTTATTTTGTATAGGTTGCCTATTCACTGCTCCTATATTCAATAAGTTATTAATTTACCTTTTATTTATTATAAACCAATAGAAGTTAATAATTTCAATTATCTTTTTCCAAGCTCATATACTTTTATATATAATAATTTTTTTTTTTCAAAGACTACACTGTTAAATTCATAATATCAAATTATACCCAATTCGAATTATTTTTAATCATTTTTAATGTTTTTATAAATTGTCACTTCTCCTACTCAATATATTGTTTTAACTAGAACAATGGAATTAAATAATTTAACTCAAGAGAAATATTTTAAATTTGACTCAAATTTAGTTTATTATTTATTAACAATAAATGTA